CTTTCAAACCAAGATACCAATACAGCTCAGTTTTAGGTAAAACCCTTCTCCATAACTCCAGGCAATCTCATTCAGAATTATCTTTTCTTCAGCCAAATGTTCAAATAGCTCCTTGGAGCTGAGAGCAGCTTGTGGCTGGCCTGTGAGCACCAGCTTGTAAAAGGTCACCCAAGTTGTGCCAGCATTCTGACATCTCCTGAACCTTTGTTCGCTGTAGGTCTCCCTTGCACACCCACTTGTGTTGCTACAGGACAGGGATACTGCCACTAACCCAGGCTGCTCCAAGTGCCATCCCACCTGGCCTTGGACACTGCCAGGGATGGGGCAGCCCCTGCTTCTCTGGGCAACCTGTGTCAGGGCCTCTCCATCCTCACAGGGAACAGGGCTTTGAGATGCTGGGGGAGCCATCCCCAGTGACCTCCTCCCTCTGTCTCCTTGGAATAGCCGAGTCCTGCTTTTTTTTCTGCCTGAAAAGGGTCTTTTTGTGCCGCCACCTCCTCCAGCCCAATCTCCCGCAGCTGAGAGGCTGCTGAGGGTGGTGTGATGCTCTGACCTGCCAACAACAATTCAGGGCTGTGTTTCCTTTCGGGAAAGGCATTTGCATATCCTCTATTCACTTTATTTGGTTAAATATATTTGAAAAGGCAAAAGCTCTGTGTCATTGAGACCGCAGAATGAGCCGTCTGGGGGCCTCCTCCATCTTAACCCTTTGGAACCTGGTTCCAGCATCTTGGAGGCGTAAAATATTCAGAAAAAGAGATTTTAAGGCTGTTTTTGCAGCAGGTATGGGGAAGGAGGCTGGAGACAGGGAAAGCCCTGACAAAAGTCAGCAAAAATGTGCCATGTACATTTGAACTGAAAATTCACTTCTGTGAATACAGCCACAGACTGACTTGCAGAGAGTTTGCAAAATTTAGCACGGATAGAAATGTCTTCAGGGTGATTTGAAAGTACTTGTGAAAACAGGAGAGCAAAAGCAAGTTACAGCAGAGTCAGGGACAGAAAGGTGCAGGGTGCTTGAGGATGTGGCATCAGCAAAGGGAACTTTTTAGAAACAAAAATAGAAATAACCTAATTGTTGGTTTAGTTAACGAAATAAATAAGAAACTCTGAAGCAACAACAAAGATCCTGAAACATAAACCGTATGTTTAAAAATCATTCAAACAATGTAACTGCTTGTTATTAGTGTCAGGAGAAAAAAATACTTCAGTGAAGTATTAAATTTGGACTATTTAAGGACATCTCAAATCACAGCCCAACCACAGATTTCTCAAAAACCCTCCATGAGATGATGCCAAATCCCCCCTTTTCCCTCATTTTCCGGCACAGTGCCAGGCCCTTGCTGCCAGGGGAACAGAAGCTGGGTGTGGGATGTGGCTGGGGTCTCTGGCTGGTGGATGCCAGCCCTGCTGACATGCCAGGGTGCAGGAGAGACCCCCTTGGACTGGGCCAGGACATGGCCCCTGCACCTCACTGTGTGCTGCACCTACCACGCTCAGCTGCAGGGTGGAGACTGAGCTTCTGGGTGCCTGTAAAATGTTCTGAGGATGACAGCTGGGAAGAGATGCATAAGCAATAAATTCATCATCCTGGGTTTATTTTTGTTACCTTGCCATCAGCTGGCATCCCTGTGGTGTAAGGAAATTGAGGGTTAGAGGGAGAGGAGGCAGAAACACTTGCCCAGTAACATAATATTAATGTTCCTAATTATTCAATTAATCCTCTGTTTGTGCTGTATGCTTCCTTCCTGCTGCTTTTTGGAAATGGTCAAAAATATAGGCTGTATAAACATAAAATCATAATACCTGACCAGAAGATATAGAAAAGGAGACCACTAAAAAGACACACAAAGCAGTAAAGTTCCCCTTTCTTACACATTATTTGAATTAGTGGTGGTTTTTTATTTCTACTTGAGGCACAATTTTCCATGGATGGGCCTTCAGGAATGTAGAGATACTGTTGGTAGATTTCTGTTCTGTAACTGAAACTGTCGCTCTGGTTTATGGGAACGCCCTGGAAACCATAGCAGCAACTGGGGTTTTTTGAGTTATGCTCAGAATTTTGAAGTGGAACTCTTCCACAGAGCAATGGAAGCTCCCAGGCTATCTCAGCTCTGTGTGGTTTCCTGGTGGTACAGCCTCACTTAGCTGCTCTGATGACTCTGTGTAAAGTCATAGAATAGTTTGTGTTGGAAAGGGCCTTTAAAGTTCATCTAGTAGTAAACTAGTAGTTTAACCCCCCTACAATGAGCAGATATCTTCAACTAGACCAGGTTGTACCAAGCCCTGTCCAACCCCACCTTGAATATTTTCAGGGCTGAGGCATCCATAGCTGCTCTGGACAACCTGTGCCAGTGTGTCACCACCTTCCTTATAAAAAATTCATCCCTTATATCTAGTCTGGATTGGCCATCTTTTAGTTTAAAACCATTACATCATGTGCTATCCTGTATTCTCCTGGCTAAAAGCAGCAATGTTTAAAATTCAATCTTAATCTGCGTTTCTCATTATTTTTGATAAAGTATAAAAGGACGGAGAGATTACATAGATTACTCTCTTTTACAGGACTCTTTAACTTTGTCTTTGGCTGGGATCATTAAATGCACTGTATTTACTGATACATCTTTTTTTGCATCCCATCCTGGATGGGTCAGGTCTCAGCCAAATCCCAGAGTTCTTTGAAGTCTTTCCACTGATTTTACTGGTAGGTGGGTCTTACTGGGCTTTAGACTGAGCACAAAAGGTGAAGTTTAATTTCCTTTGTGCTAGTATGAACATCCCTGCTACTCAATGCTTTCTCTTGGCTGTGAGTCCAAAATATTAGGTTGTCTTCCCATAAAGCCCTGTCCCCATCACTCTGCCCTGCAAATCACCTGGCAGAAAATTCTGGGGCAGAGTGAAAGCTTTTATTCAGTTTATTACTTAGAGTATGCTTGCATCGTTTTTCCCTTAAGGTAGGCAGCCCACATCCAGCTTCCTCTCTTTGTTCTCCCTCAGATATCTCCAGTGGTTGTTTCAGAGAGTGAGTCCATGTGCGTATGTACTGCAATGAGAGCAAAACAAGAGAAAGGGAATTACTGCTCAGGGTATTTACAGAGGAGGCAAAAGGGTCAGACTCTACCATGAAACGTGTTTTACTCAATCTCACCACTTTTCCTGAGGGCATATTGCCCATGGTGAGCTTCATCTTGGTAGGAAAGACCAGCCCTTACCAGCAGGAGCTTGAAAGAAGAGCTCCATAGCCCAGTATGTTGGTTTTAATCCAATACTCATTTGAAATCAGGATTCCCACCTCCCCTTTAGGGCATTTCAGCATGAAGACAGATATGCTGAGACTGTGGACTACTGGCACTGAAGCACTCAGTCAGCCCAGAACTGTTCACACACCTGAAATATTTTCCGGGCTACAAAGATTCTGTCAAGCTGTGGCTCATAAAGAACAAAGGGGCAGGAATCTGAGCTGGTGAATATTGCTGAGGTCCCATTAAGCCAGCACTGTGATGCTGATTTGCACCTGCAGACCATTCAGTCTAGTACTCCCTGCCCCACTCTGGCACTTTGATGAATTAAGCCTGATTGCAGAACATCCTCCATGTGACCCAAAGGAGAGATATTTTACAATCTTGCCTGAAATCTCATTAAATATTCTCTTCATTCATGGGTGTTAAGTGTTCTTTGAGAATTCTCCATTACAAACTCCAATATCATAAGTAAAATTTAGGACAGGTCACACAGAAACTTTATTAACTATGGTAATAGTAAAGTCAGCTTCTCACCCTCTGCTCCTCACTTTTCTGCCAAGCAGTTCTGGAGAGCCAGCCAGGAAAAAAAAGGAGTAGAGGAAAACAATAATTTCAGTGTTAATAATGCCAGGTATTCAGCTTCTAGAATTCAGCTTCTTTCTTCCCTCAAATGCCTTCCTAACAGCCAGAGTCCTAAGCAGGAATTGAACAGTAAAAAATGAGCAGTAAATGAAGTGATGATATGGAGCAGAGGCTCCCGGGGGCCCAGGGGTGGCACACCCACGTTATCTTTGCTCGGGAGAGGGGAGTTGGAAGCTATCAGACACTGTTGGTCTGTTGGTTTCCAGTTAAAAGGAATGCTCTTGTAGTTGAGAATACCTCAGACAGATCTCTCAAATGTAAATGTCAGTAATTTACCATGACAAATGAATTTCAGAGTTCTGGTCTTGCTATTTTGAGTGTAAATTAACAAAACCTGGTTTGGGCTGGAATACCAGGGGTGTTGGGCTTTTTCTGTTAATATATATAACAGTATAAGGATGATGTTACTGGCAATAGTTACTCTTACTATTTTATTGATTCAGGGGATTTGTACTTATTCTACTCGATCATCACAGAATGTTTTGGGTTGGAAGGGTCCTTTAAGGTCATCCAGTTCCAATCCCTCTGCCATGGGCAGGAACACCTTCCACTAGACTAGGTTGCTCCAAGCTGTGTCCAACCTGACCTTGGACATCCAGGGGTGGGGCATCCCCAGCTTCTCAGGACAGCCTGCTCCACTGTCTCACCGCCCTCACAGGGAAGAATTTCTTCCCAATATCCCATCTAACCCTGCTCTCTGTCAGTGGGAAGCCATTCCCTGTGTCCTGTCACCATCTGCCCATTTAAATATCTGCCGACATCCGACCTATGAAGTTTCTATTTCAGCAGACCTGAACTGGTGGTACAGACTTTCTCAGTGTCAGAAACTTTCTTTTATGATGACTTTTCCTGAAGGGAAAAAAAAAAAAAAAGTTTCTAATTTTAAACTGCGCAGTTGCAGAAAGGTTTTACAGTTTTACACCCAGAAGCGTTTCTTCGAGCCTGTAAATCCTCCAGTATGACAGAGATGTGCGAAAGTACTGCAATATTCAGGAGCGGAGAGGGTGGGTTTTCCTCTGGGAGGCGGCTCCCACCGCCGGGTGTGGAAGCTCAAGGGTTACAGCGGGCATCGCTGCCGCTGCTGCCGCGCTAATTCAGCCTAAGCCGATATTAGCCAAGCTTAACTTCTTTCAGCCGTTTGCGGATGGGAGGGGGAGGGACGGCCTGCAGTCAGCAGTTCTGTGCGGGGCTCGGCAGGGCAGAGCCCCGGCCATGAGCTGAGCGGGCAGCGGCGGCACCGGCGGATGGTGAGTCCCGGCGGGTTCATTGTTATTATCACAGCGCTTCCGAGGAGCCGGGGGGATCCGGGAGCTGCGTCTGGGAGGGCCCGGGGGGCTCCACACGGGACCCCCATCCCCGGGGCCCCGCGGGCTCCAGCGGGGCCGGGCTCCGGGATGCCGAGCCAAAGCCAAAGCAGAGCGGGGGCAGACCTGCGGTGCAGAGGGAGCCGTGGCTGTGGGTGGGTGGGCTCGTTCTTGGGGGCGATGCGGGACAGCTCCTGGGGGACACTGGCACGTGGCTTTGGCATTTTCCCGTGGTTCGCGTGTTTCCAGCAGCCCGAGCGGGGAAAAGCTCCTGCCCGGCTCCGGCTGGAGCTCCCAGCGCTGGAGGCAGCTGCCCCGCAGGTCCCGCGTGGGCTGCGGGGGGCCAGTCCTAGGGCTGGAGACATCCCCGGCAGCCCTGGGGTCAGCGGGGAGGAGCTCTACCTGCGAGGGGGCAGATTCACTGGGATGCAGAGACGGAGCCCGGCACTGCGGCTTCCCTGGAGCACTCTGCCCCTCTTAGTTCATTGCCCCAAATTCTTGATCCTACAGATCGGGGCTTGTTTCCCACAGCGGGAGCTCTGTGGAGCATGGCACACCTGTTTAGTTGTGGTTGACCTCAAATCCTGGCTTGAGTTTTGGGCCCCTCAGTCCAAGGAAGACATAGAGGTGTTGGAGTGTGTTTAGAGAGGAGCAGTGGAGCTGAGGAAGGGTGTGGAGCACAAGCTGGATAAGGAGCAGCTGGGGGAGCTCAGCCTGGAGAAAAAAGAGGTTCAGAAGGGACCTTATCACTCTACAAAGGAGGATGAAGCTGGTGGGGAGGTTTGTCTCCTCCCAAGTAGCACATGGAGGAGCGAGATTAAGTGACCTCAAGGTGTGCCAGGGGAAGTTTAGGTTGGATATTAAGAACAATTTCTTCACCAGAAAAATGTTTCAGCTCTGGAAGGGACTGCCCAGGAGAATGGTGGAGTCGCCATCCATGGAGGATTTGGATGTGAATTTGGCACTTTGGGACACAGTTTAGTGGCAAGCCTGGCAGTGCTGGGGGAATGGTTAGACTCGATAATCTTAGAGGGCTTTTCCAACCTAAATGACTGGAATTCTGTGACATCCTGCTGGTTTCTATGCTTTCTGTGTCTTAACTTTCAGCCACCCAGACTAAAGTGCAGGCTCTTTGCAATGTATGTCCCTGCCTGAGGGATCTCCCGGAGTTGGTGACAAAACTTGCCTTTGCCAAAGCTATGCAGCAGTGGTAGGTTGCAAGCATTCAGTGTAGTGTGCGATGTTCTAATTCCATGCTGTGCAGTCCCACTTTCCTCAAGCATAGAACCATGAACATGCTCCATCCACATGGGATGAGCCTGCTGCTGTGTGGGGTGTGAGAGCTCATGGGGGTGCACCGTGGTGTCAGGGACAGAATGTGAAAACCTTGTCTGTAGCCATGAAATGCCCTATCTGGACATAGTGTGTTTTCTGTCTTGCTGTGTTGTGTATGTGCCTGTTGCTGGTGCATCCCATCCTTTGGCATGCTGGGGACAGAGCAGGTTGGAGATGTGACAAGAAGGGAAGGATGATGCTTTCAGCAGTTTCAGAGAGCCTCCTGGATGGTGGAGGGTCCCTGCCTCCCCCTGGAGCTGTGCCATGTGGTGGGTCAGCTGCAGGGGTGGCTGTGGGCACTGTGGGGCCTCCTGGGAAACCCTCCTGCACCTGGGCACTGAGTGTCCCTGACACCAGGAGCCTTTCTGCACTAATCATCTGCTTTTACTGATACCACGCAAGAGAGAAACATCAAGTTGTGTTCCTTTAAAAGCACGGTGATACTCCTGAGCACAGAAGAGATTATTTTGAGAAGCTCTGGCTCTTGCAGGCAGTGTGTTTCAGTTCTGACTGGAGGCTACTGGCACCGGGCCCAGGCAGGCAGAGGGCACGGCAGGAGCCGGCAGGTCTGTGCAGGGCAAGGCTGCTGCATCAGGCTGCTCCTGCCCCTCTGTGTCCCTGCTGCTGTCCCCCACCTGCAGGGTTAGGGAGCACTTGCCTTCCTTTGGGTTTCTGGCACAAGGCCTGCCTCTTTATTTTCTTGCCCCTCACTGCACTGCAAGGTTGCCAAATAAGCCTTGAACAACTTTCAAAGCTGCCTTCAGTTTCTGGTTTGTTTTGGGATAAAACTTGGAGCGGATTCAGGCAGTCACAGTTCTGTGTGCACAGGGTCTGGATAAAACTCTGCTCTCTCCATGTGTACTTAACCTTTGGTACCCCCTCACTCCTTCCCATCTGTGCAGACAGGGTCCTTTAGGAAAGCACTCCAGCTACAGGGCCAGGTTGGATGGAGCCCTGAGCAATCTGCCCTAGTGAAGGGCATCTCTGCCCACTGTGTGGGGGATGGCTGGGTGATCTTCAGTGTCTCTTCCAACCCATCTGTGATCCCATGAACTTGCAGGGCACTTTCTTGTTAACTAACCTGGTCTAATTACAGTCAGATAACTCTAAAAGAGGGATGCAACTCTATTTGTTATGGTTAGTGACACTACTGTTACTTTTTTGTAAGCTCTCATTTTGATGTCATTTTCTCGTTTCAGTTTCCAGTGTGACCGTTGTAATACTGTCTGCATGGGCATGTGTTTGACACAGAGCTGGCAGAGCCTTTCAGCCCTCTCCTTTTTCATATGGCTTTGCTTTAACTGCAGGGGCAGGTCAGTAAGTATTGGAGCTCTTCAAGCTGTTGGATTGGCATAAAGAGAATTGCTCCTTATAATAATAAAGGCAGTGTTTGGCTGTCATATGGCCCAAACTGTGAGGTCTCTCTACATCTGCAGCAGAAGATGAAAATCTGTGGTGTGATAATGCACAGACAACCTCCTGCAGACAGTAACAGGCCAAATTTCCAGGATCTTCATGGCTGGAGGCAATGCCAGCTGCAGTCTGGCCTGCTTAGCCCTGCTGTGAACACTTGCTACATAATTGTTGATATTGCAGAAGGCAGCACAAAATTGAAGTTTGTCCAAATAAGTGTTTTGGTCCAGTCTGAGCTGTCAGAGAGACAAGGCAGGTTAACACTTGACTTGGAATAGGTGTTTAAAACATTCCTGTTCTTCCCTGCAGGATTAACTCTGGGCATGCCACTGTGTCATGTCCTAAGAATTATGGAAGATTTTCTGTAATGAGCTTGTTTAGTTTTCTGTGTGACTTTGGATGAAGCACTCCCATGCTTGCCTGAATGCAACTGGCTGGCAGGATCCTCAGAGTGTTATTCAGAAACCATTTATTCTGGTGCTGCTGCCAAAAGAAACGGCAACAATGAACCCAGAAAGGTTTGCAGCTGGATCAGTACCCCTGGACTGGTGCACAAATATTTGTGCTGGTGCCTGGGAAAGGCAGGGTGGGTGTGGGAGTGATGGAAGGGGCAGATGCTCAGGAGCACTCCTTGCCCTGGCAGGCCTGGAATATTGTGGGGCATCCCAGCCTGAGTGGGCTCCACAAGCTGTGCTCCAGGCAGGGCTGGAGGTGGGTGTATGGTGGTCAGGGAGCCATGCAGGGAGGACAGGACCCCACCCTGGCCCCAGGATGCCATCTGGTCATGCCAAGCGGGGATTTGCTTGTAAACCAACCACTTTTTCTGATAATATAGCAGGACAGTAATTTCTGTGCCAACAGCCATGTGCCCCGGCATGGGCATAAGGTGAAGGGCCCCTCATGGCCCAGTCCAGCAGTGGTGGGAGTTGGGATCATCCATCCTACCCTGCCAGCAGGAATCAGGCCTCTGCAGTTTGTGTGTGCAGCAGGAGAGCAGCCAGGCTCTCCCTTCATCACTGTCCCTGTATCCCTGTCACCAGTGTCACACAGTGACCCTCCAGGTGCAGCCCAGGGCAGGGTGTAAACGGTCATGGAGAGCAACTGGCAGGAATCTGCCTACATGTGTGTCCTTGTGTGGCAGTGACCTGCTGTGGGGACAGCAGAGCCAGCCCTCAGCAGCCAGGGCAATGCATGCTTGTGGTATCAGATCCTTCCCTGCCTGGCATTGTGCCCAAATGCCTCCACCCAGCCATGGCCTAGGGGCTTTGTAGGGTGAGATGGCCACAGAGGGCCTGGCTAGGGCACATTCATGTGGAGAGACTGAAAATGGGCCGGGCAGTGAGCTGAGGAGGGGAGTGCATCCCTCCTGGGTCCCTGCACCTCTGCACTGCCCAGCACTGACACTGCTGCAGAGCCTTCAGGTCACTGGGGTTCTTAGCTGGACCAGGGCCTCTACAGACTGTACTAAGGTTTATTTAAATTCAATATTGAAAGGCAAACATCAAAACTTTCCCTGGCAACAAGCCATCCAGCTCTTTGCAAAGCACCTTCACATCTCCTCTCTGCCAAGCCAGCTGTCAGGGGTGCAGCTCCCTTTCCATTCAGTGCTTCTCTTTGTACTCTGCCCCAGATAACTATTTTTATGACATTTTTAAGTTGTTTGTTTGCTGCCTGACACAGAGTATTCAGGAATCATATAGTATATGGGACAATCAACCATCAATGTCAGTAAAAAAAAAAAAAAAACTGAAACCCAACCTAACAAACCTCATTCTTCATGAGAACTGAAGTTGCCAATTACTCAATTACTTATGAGTACTTCTGGGAAGGGGGGAGCTCTGCAGATGTTCTGTGAGCAGTGTGCAGAGCAAAGCCCCAGCCCTGGCAAAAGCAGCCCCACGAGGCACTGTCAGGATCCAGCCCTGTGGGACAATGCCAGAAGCACGTGGCACTTCAGCACAAGCCCAGGAAACATGTGCGGGGTTCACTGCCACCTGCAAGCTTTGCCATAAGGCTGAGTGGCAAATTCTCTCCTGCTTTAGCCATCTCAATGGGATGCTCCTGTGGGCTGTGCTGCCTGTGAGCAGGGAAGGCAATGGGGAGGGATCAGGCTCTGGTTTCCCCAGATGGAACTTTGCAGCCCCTGTGCTGATTTTGGCACACTTGTGAGCAGGCTCCAGAGAGCTGAAGACAGC